CTAAGGCAAGCGCAGTGACTACTTTACACGATCATATTCTACGGAAAAGAACCAATTAGGATCATTTGCCACATTTAATGAAAAATGTTACACAATATTGTAAAGGTGTAATAAAGTTTAAAATATAAGACGTAACATATATAATGTATCAAATAATATTCTTTCAAATTGTTTACAATCAATTTTATAATGTGTAACTAACGTATCTTTCCATGGTGAGAAAAAATGTTAAATTAAAAAATATTTCAACTTTACACGATGATCACGGGCTATCAAAAAAATTATTTGCTAAGTTAACAAAATACTTGTTAATTTATAAGAATATCATATGTTAATGCTGCCCATGTATGTTTTACTAAAAAAACATATAAAACTGAACTAAAGAAAAACCGTTAATAGGATTAGAGATAAAAATGACTAAATTTGACGGTAATTTACTTGATAAATTACGATAAATTAGTCAGTAATTTTTGTAGGCCGGTAAAATAGCAATTTTAAAAAAATTATGAAAATAAAATAATTTAATGTAAAAGCATACAGTCTTTAATCATTAAGTTGAAAATGCTTTATTTAACTCATATTTCCATTTTGATATTAAATATTGGTATACAATATAATATATTTATTATATACTAATTACGTAATATTAATATGTAATATTATTTCTTTAAATTATTATATATACATATATATATTGAATATATAATAATTACAAAAATTACGTACATAGTCTAAACTAAAGGCACTTTAAAAATTTTTATTTTATGCATTAATATGAAAAACATAAATAAATTTGTTTGCGCAATTTTACCAAAATTACAAATAAAAACAATAAATTATCATTTTACCATAAGTTTACCGTAAATAATTGTCAAATTGAATTTAACGGTAATTTTACATTTTTAAATAGGATGCATTATAGAGTAATTTCGGTATATACGCCTATCCACAATTTTTTTCTGAATGAGCATAAGTTAAATTTGCTTTGATTATCACTCTCTGTTCAAAGTGTTCATCTGATAATCTATTGCCTTTTGGATTATTTATTATTGTGGCTAACGAAAATAATTTTTCAACAGGTGCCGATGATGGCAAAGGAGTATTAAACTTTAAGAAAACGTTTTTTATTTCTGTATATAAATTTAACAAATCTAGAGATCGAGACTTATCCGCAAAAAATATTGATGCGGAGTGTTCGGCTCTGGTCCAGGGACGTCCCAATGAAGAAAAATTATTATCCACATCGGCATCATCAAAATCAAAAAATTCATCTTCCTTTGTGGTATTCACCGTAGATAATTCGTCATCGATATTTAAAGGCGTATTGAATTCTTTTGATAGAACAGTAATAAATAAATTTTTCAATCGACATTGATTTTCGGGCTGAATGCAAGTGAACCATTTGTTCTTAAATCTAGGGTAACTCAATGCTGCGATAATTGCCCTTTCTGCATTAGGATTGTTAAGTGTCAAAAAATTTTGAAAACGTCTTTCTACATGTACCAATAATTCCTCTACAATGGGTTTACAATACTGATAAACGTTTTGTTGCAATTTTTTAAGTTTCTTTTCCAACATCAGAATTGTTGGCAATAATAAACCGTAATAGCTATTGTTGTCTCCTTGAAGCATATCCAATGCTTCGGCCACTGGCTTCAAGCAAGATAAATATTCTTCCATATAATCAAATTCATTTTCACGAAATGAGTGCTTAAGGCCGAGTGCTTTATGAAGAACATTGTTTTGTTCTTTTATCGTCAAAATTTGTTTCATAGCATCATATAAACTATTCCATCTGGTTATTCCGGGTCGACTAAGATTATGTCCTAAAACATTATGTATGATTTCAGCACTTTTAGGTTGGTTACCTTTTTTCCACAGCAAATTACACTTCTCTATTACACTCTTGTGAATCTTGGACAATTTTGGTGAATTTTGGATTAGTGGTAAGCACGTGTGGTAAGATCTGCAGTTGCTATCAAATTCAATGTATGTAAACAACAACGTAAGTGGGAAGGTAAACGCGCTTGACAAATTTCAAATTCGGTAATGTCTTCTTCACTTTCAATTTCCAATGGATCTCCTACATCTTCATCTGAACTCTCACTCGACTCTCCTTTATTTGTTCCAATACTTTCGGGATGGATTCCAAATTTTGTAAATGCTTTAACAAAATTACATTATCGGTAATGGTAGGAACGACTTTATTTGAGTCTAAGTTAAAAGCCTGATGAATTTGTTGTAGTTGTTCCGTAATATGTTCATAATTATGCACTCCTGAAAATTTGCGACACGCTAATGCTCTTGATCTCCTTTTCAGTGTGACAGGATCAATCCAATGGGCAGTTACCCCTAAAAAACTTCTTTTCCGACCGGACCAAATATCTACAGTAGGACGGACGTAAGTCACTTTCTGTAACAGTTCCTTGATTTCCAAAACCTGCTCGTTATAGTATTTTTTTAGACGTCGTCCCAAATTTCTGCGACTCATTAATGTCAATCCAAGCTTCTGGATATTTAATTTCTCAAAAATGATTGATAAGTATGGATTTTCTATACAGTTTAATGAAATCATTGAATGTGAAACAAATTTAACAATATCTTCATCAAAAGACTCTTGTGTGTATAAATTTGATTTAGATCTACGAACACATCTATTTGGTGAAGCTGAAGTGGATTGTGTCATTTCTGTCTTTCTCTGTTTACAATACAATTTACATTCTTCAACACAGTCGCCATGTTTTCTTTTCAGATGTTTTAAATAATTTGAAGAACAATTCTTGTATCCTCTTATTTCTACTTTATCCGGCAAACATTTCTTGCACACAGCCACAGTTGTAGTTGAAGTTGATTTTACAGATAACTTTTCAAAAAACGTACCATCCAACAAAATTTCTTGACTTGATGTTGCAGCGTTCAATAAATCGATATTAACAGAAGATTCAGATTCCATTGTTTATTGTATTAAAGTTACAGAACACACAGTATACTGCTTTGAATGTGAACTAGTATTTCCTACTCTGACTATACGAAACTACATCATTCTTAAATTTTGATTCTAAATATATGCTGGCATACCGCGTTTAAAGCACAACCACGCTCCGCACAGCTTGTGATCACGTGGAGTGTGGTGAGGGAATCGAGCACCGCTACAGGATACGTTCACTGTGTTTATTAAAGTTCGCAACGATCGCGAACATTTTATTTTTGTCATCAAATGTTAAAGGCTGAAATGACGCAAGAAATGTTCATCGAGTAAGATATAAATAAAACAATACAAAAATTGCACTTTAAATTTTTTAAAATATCTAAAAAAAAGCTATAAAAATTATATGACCGAATTCAGCGATGATTATTAAAACGGTCGACCAAAAGTATTTTAACCATCAAAGGGGTCACTGGAAACACTGGAAACTGTGGAAACCCGGTCGCAATCGAAAAATACCTCATTCTTAAGATCTAATGATGATCTTGAAATTAGTTGAAATAAGAATAACCTATAAATATCAGATGTTTTAATAATGTAAATAATTAAATAAAGGTAAATAAAATGTAAATAAAATTAATTAAGTAGTTTAACTAAAATTAAACATGTTTTAAACAATATTTTTAAAAATCATGTTTTAAACTGTTTTAAACATATTTTTTCAAGTATTGTTTAAAACATGTTTAAAACATTAAAAACATATTTTGAGCAAAAAAAACACAATGTTTTGCACTTTTTAAAAAAACCATGATTTTTATCAACCCTGAAATTTATTCGAATATACAATGTATTCGAATGAATAATGTACATATAATTCGAATAAAATTGATCTCGTTGGTAACTAAAAGAAATTGTAAATTAGTTAGCCCTTTCCTCTGCAATATTGATTATGTTAGGCTCATTTGACATGTTCAAGTCTCGTGTTCTAGGAACAATATAATACAAAATATAACAATGTGAATAACATATAATGCCAATAATGAATAATGCAAATAACGAATGATGCAAATAACGAATAATGCGAACAACTAAGTAGCGAATAATATATAAATGAAGAATAATACGAATAACGAATAATGATCAATAATACAATGGCGAATAATACGAATAATGATTAATATAAATAATACATAATGCAAATAATAAATAAAATTCTATTCAAATAATATTTAAAATAAAAAATTGTTCGAATAGTGCCCACCTCTAAGCATCAACAAAATAGACGGATCCGTAGCAGAGTTCGACGTAATCCACAACTTTCGATAATCAATTACTTAAACAATTCCTGTAATCTTAATTACGGAGTAATCAATTACTTTGGTAATCATTCTTAATTACGGAGTAATCAATTACTTAGTAATCACAGTATGATTACTAAGTAATTTGAATTCTTAGTAATCATACAGTATAATTACCAGTAATTATGATTACCAAAGTAATTGATTACTCTGTAATTAAGAGATTACAGGAATTGTTTAAGTAATTGATTATCGAAAATAATCGATTATGCCCAACTCTGCCCACAACTACACATCCATCAAACGATCGATCTCCGTGATGACAGCCGCTCACGAAGTAAGCGCAGCGAGAAAACCAATCAGCATCACGGAAAAGCGACAATAAACTTCGATACATTCGAATATCGATTTAACATCTCCTTTTTTAGAAAGGATAAGGAAAATGAAATGGTTTGAGAAATGACTCCGTTGATAACTTCAGTATCCCCTTAATATCTCAGTTCGCGAGGCAGAGCAATGCTTATTTCTGTCAGATTCTTTCGTTTCATGCAAAAACGCATCGAATAAGCCTAATTTTATTGATTAGGCCCAGTTTCACAACTGACGGTTAACTCTTAACCGCGAGGTTCAACTTATTCATTATCTCTTTTCAATTCTAGAATTGGAAAAAGATGAGAAATAAGTTGAATCTCGATTAAGAGTTAACCGTGAGTTGTGAAACTTGGCCTTAGGAGCTAAATTGTATAATGACCGCGATCATTAACCTATACTTACAGTTGATCACGATAAAACCGATTTCCCAAAAAAAATGGGAAATTACCGACGAAGGAAAATACGTAATAGAACATGGCAGTCACGAAGCGACCGTTTACAATGCTATCCCTGATGAAGGGATACCTCAGGCCAAACTCATCAAATCTAGCCCTTATGCTAAAGTAGGTTTTTCCAAGGCGATGGTTGCAGGATGGATCAAGCTTGATAAAAGTGGAAACATTCCTACTGTACAAAAGAAAGCACCGTCCATTATAGATATCATTCAGGTACATTTGAAGAATCTTACAAATGTCCCGGAAAATGTTAAAGCAGAATATAAGAAGAGAAAGTTATTGCAAGAGGTGTAAGCAAAATAAAACAAGTAAAGAACAACGTAAAAGTACATAACATTTTATTTAAAAAATTTTTCTTCTCATAATGGCAGGATGATAAAAATTATGCATCTTGAAAAGGGACCAAATTTTTCTACGAAAATAGAAAAGCTAGAAGCAGACTTGACATCAGATTTATTGGTAAATGGTGCTTGGAAAGATAAAAAATTTAAACCATACAATTTTGACGCTCTAGGTACGTCACTTCAAATAGGACATTTACATCCATTGTTAAAAGTTCGTCATGAATTCAGGAAAATCTTCTTAGAAATGGGGTAAACAACATAAATTTTTCTTTACAAGATTTTTACTCTTTTTAAAATCTCGAAAATTTTATATATTTTAATGTTGTATTGACTTTTATTTTTCACATTAAAAATTGTTCTATTTCAGATTTACTGAAATGCCGTCAAATAATTACATAGAAAGTTCTTTTTGGAATTTTGACGCTCTTTTCCAGCCGCAGCAACATCCTGCTCGTGATGCTCACGATACTTTTTTCATCTCTGGTATCTTATTTTACATTAATGTATGAATGCTTAAAAGCATTGACAAAAAAATTAGTTTTATCTTTTAGAACCTTGTCTTAGCACACAGTTCCCTATGGAATATTTGGAAAGAGTGACGACTGTTCACAGTAAAGGAGCATATGGATCTCAAGGTTATAGATATGATTGGAAGTTGGAACAGTCACAAAAAAATTTGCTGCGTACTCATACAACATCCAATAGTGCACGAATGTTATATAAACTTATGGAGAAAGTAAGTAATCGACGGAGAAGTAAGTATTAGTTGTTAAACTTAATTCCTATCGTTTTTTCGTCTCGAAAATCGATTTGTTTCGAAGGGAAGATGAATGAATACCTTAATCAAAGTAATTTCCTCCATTTTATACTATTTTTTCCCATCTCTCCGGCAACAGGGCAATCCCACGACGGTAGAACGCGGTGTCTTTCGAGGCGATCCATTCATCCACCCATTTTTGGACTTTGTTGTAACTGGAGAAGTGTGTGTCCGTAAGTGCGTGTTACATCGACCGGAAGAGATGGTAATCCGACGGTGCCAAGTCTGGGGAGTACGCTAGGTGTGGCAGAATTTCCCATTCAAGCTCTCGAAGTGTCTGCTTCACGCTTTTCGCGACATGCGGTCGAGCGTTATCATGCAACAAAATGACTTTGCGTCGATTGTTGGCTACGGATGATCTTTTTTGCACCAATTCGTCACTCAATCGGTATAATTGCTGTTTGTAGCGATCAGCTGTAACAGTTTCATTTGGACCCAAGAGTTCGTAATACAGCACACCTTCCTGGTCCCACCAAACGCACAGCGAGGTCTTATGCCCGTGAATATTCCTCTTCGGCGTTGAAGTAGATGGTTGGCCGGGATCCACCCATGATTTTTTCCGCTTAGAATTATCAAAATAAATCCATTTTTCATCGCCAGTTACGATGCGCCACAAAAAACTTTTTTTTCTACCTGACAAGCAAAGAAGTCGCAATAGTCAAACGATTCGAAATGGCACTTTCTGACAACTCATGTGGTAGCCATCTCCCTTCCTTATGGATCTTTCCCATGGCATGCAAGCGTTTTGAGACGGCCTTTGGAGTAACATTTAACTGTTTCGATAACTAAAAATGTTTGAGCTGGATTCTCATCAAGTAATTCTTACAGCTCGACATCTTCAAATTTTTTCGGCCGTCTTGGACATTTTTTGTCTCTCACATCAAAATCACCGTTTCGGAAGCGTTCAAACCAAACTTTACATGTTCTTTCCGATGGAGTTTTATCACCATACACTTCGGATAATAAGCGATGCGCTTCAGCTGCGGTTTTCTTGAGGTCGAAGTAGTGAAGAAGCACATGTCGGAAAAACAGCTTATCGCGATTCATTTTCGATTGATTGGAAAATCTCTTTGGCGTCGAGAAATCTAACCTGTGAGGATTAAATTACTTTCAGTGATGTCTACAAAAGACATATGACTTCATCGTCGAAACTCGCCAGCGTTGGAGCCAGCACTCTAGTAGCGAGCGATAGGAATTAAGTTTAACACCTAATATATACAAATTACTTTTCTAAGGATGAAACGAAATTATAAAAATATTTTGCAGGGAGATTTTAAACCGATCAAGTACTTCAGTATTGATAGAGTATTTCGCAATGAAACTTTAGATGCGACTCATCTTGCCGAATTTCATCAAATTGAAGGTGTCATTGCCGATTATAACCTTACATTGGGTAATCTTATTGGCACTTTATATGAATTCTTTAGTAAACTTGGTATTACTCAACTTCAATTCAAACCTGCGTATAATCCATACACTGAGCCGAGTATGGAAATATTCTGTTTTCATAATGGATTAGAGAAATGGATAGAGATTGGTAATAGCGGTATGTTTAGACCTGAAATGTTATTGCCAATGAATCTACCTCCTGATGTAAATGTCATTGCGTGGGGTTTATCATTAGAAAGGTATGTGTGAAAATAGATATGATTTAACGATTCGTAATTCCATATAAAAATTTAATGTACATAATTTTTTTATTTTAGGCCAACAATGATTAAATATGGTTTAAACAATATACGCGATCTTGTTGGACCAAAAGTGGACATGAAAATGGTTCATAACAATCCATTATGTCGATTAGAGAAATAAATATCATTCTAAGTATTATTAAAGTATTTATGTTAGATTATACCTTTTTGGAAGTAAAATTAGGTAAAAAAAACATTTATAAGCTAAATTGTAAAACATAAAATATAACAATTCTAGTTAAGTTATATCAATATATCGATTATATGTTCGTATAACAAATCAAACCAACCAAGACTCCTTATAAATCAAAGAATTGGAAAAAATACGGGCGTTAGGAATCAGGCGCAGAAGATGTCGCGCAAATGATGCACTTATGAAGTTTGAAACTTCTTTATTTAACAAACACGCTTACATGTTTCGGCTCATTTTTGAGCCTTCCTCAGAGCAAATACAAACTAACATATATAAAGTAAAAGTTATCCTGTCATGGTAAGCTCCCCTACATCGAGAATTTAAATGCCAGAATTAAACAAAAAGAAAGAAAAGGAAAATGAAAAAGAAGCGTATATTAAAAATGACGAATTAAAGAATATAGTAACTAATTTATCAAAAAACTTTAATAATATAATTAATTATCCCGAAATCCCGAAAATAAGAACGCTCACCACAATTACAAAGCACCGTATCGCAAACATTATCATGAATAATTCAAGAACCGGTTCCTGATATATTGGTCAGTCGGTATCAGACACGGTAAGTCACTTTTTAGATATCAGCTAGTATTAATGAAAATTGTAAAGTGATAAAAAATCTCGTCAGAAGGACTTATTACTGTGTACGAACGACACCGACTGACAAGACGTGACAACAACTCGAGCTTTTATAATTTATCTATAATCGGGAGGTAGGCCTTCGGAAGCCCCTCCATATCCATCTGCAGGTTGTAGTGAGGCTCCTCGTCCAATATTGCAACGTTGTCCCAGTCAAATTCATATCCCTCTTACAACCGATGTTCCGTTATAACATTGCGAGCAGACGTGTTCCACCGGAGGTGGTTCTTGTGTTCTGTGATTCTTGATTTCAGTTGTCTACACGTCTGTCCCACATAATTCGCATCGCAACTCTTACACGAAATCTTATAAACAACCTTCGACTTTTTATCACGAGATAACGGGTCCTTATGCACCCTAATAAATTCACTCAATTTATTAACACTATAAAACGATACCCTCATATGCTCGCTATTCAATCCACTAAATTTCTCAGTAATACCACGAATGAAAGGGACAGTGAACCACGAAGGATGCACTACATTAACGCCATTATCACTAACAACATTCTTCCTATTACTAGCCATAATAATATTCTTCAAACGGTTGTTAATGTTCTCAAATATAAAGCTTAAAGGATAATCATTCTCTAACAATACTTTAATTACGAAACACAAATTATCAAAGTGAAATTTAGCATTCGAAAGCAAAATCACCCTATAGCTAATCCCGCGATTGTACCTATTTTTTGAGAAACCGGGTGCTGTGACCAAAAGTTCAAATATCTACCCGAAAAGGTTGGCTTGCGGTACCAATCGAACTCTATCAACTCATTATCCCTAATCACTGTTACATCTAAAAAAATTCAATCTATCACCTCCCACTTTCATGGTAAACTGAAGCCTAAGATGCTGAGAATTAAAGACGTCAAGAATGGAACTAACTGAAGAAACAGGTGCTGCCATTATTATATCATCAACGTATCTATAGTAAAGGGGCAACGGAAACTGAATCAAAGACAAAGCTCTACTTTCTAACGGGTGGCACCAGGGGTTACAAACTCCTATTGTTCTCGATGTACCACGGTTTGCAGCGCCCTCACTGAGTGACAGGGCTCACGGACGGAACTAACCTTTCTAGTGTGTAAGCGAGTGAGTGAGTGAGAGAGCGACTGTGCGAGTGAGATAGATTAACGTCTGTACGTACGGAACATGCATGCTTTATAATCTTTATATATTAAATATTTACACATTTTTTTGCGATTATTACCTAAAAAAAAATTATAACATTGTTTCATTCTTAAACCACACTTTATTACAAAAATTATATACAAGCAGGGAATGGAAAGTTACTTTTTAAAAGTAACAAGTTACAGTTACTCGTTACCGAGTAGGAAAAGTAACAAGTTACCGTTACTAGTTACCGATTTTTAAAAGTAACTGGTTACAGTTACCGTTACTTGAGAAAGTAACTTTTCGTTACTTTTCCGTTACTTTTTTTTAAATCAACGACCAACAATCACAGCGGATTGGCCTAGAGGCTTCTCTAGTCTCAAGCGCATTGTAAAAAATTGTGTAAAATTATAACTATTATA